ATGAGGCCAATGGGCCTTGCCCACTAGGCCAGGCTCCAGCATTGGCAGCATTAGGGGGGCCCGTTCCATCTGGTGTCCTTGTCCTGTGTGAGTGTGTGTTTGTTTGGCCTGGCCTACACTTTATGTTCTGCTGAAGTCGAATGCATCTCAGTTTCATTCTTATTAGGCTTGAAACCATTTACCAGATGGTTTGCAGGGGGGAAATTTCTTATCCAGAAAGGAGCTGTGAAAGATTTAAGACACCCATGGCATACTTCTTTTATAAACTTAAATAAAAATAAAAAAAAAGAAACAACAGCAAAAAAAAAAATGTCAATTAGAACAAAATGCAGAAAGGATGGGATAGCTCCTAGCCCCCGTCATTTTAGTCCTAATACACCTTACACACTTAAAGTCACACAAATAGATCTTAAATATGCAGTTACTGTAAATTTCATTTGAAAATCCATTTTAATTAAGGGAAAATAAATAAATGCATAAATTAGGTCTTCAATGCAACACATTTTGACCAAATACGACAAGTAATTTTTTCCCATTGTGCTCCCTAGTTAAGGTTCATACATCTTTTGGTGTTTTGATGCATAGAGCACAATTAGGCCCTTTTAAAACCTATGCTTGCTAATCCTATGTGGTTCTAATGCATCACTTGCAGACTGGCAAGTTTGATATTACTCCCTTAAATGCCCAAGGTGTAAAAATTAATCAGTGTTAATAAGTAAGTAATAGAGTGAGTTCTAACTGGTGTGTATTTATTATTACTGTAATATTCCTAAATTTAGGAGAATGTTGACCAAGTCTGATCTTGAAGTGATTACTCATGCTTTTTGTTCTATCACTCACTATCCAACTAGTAAACCTAGAACAGTCCACATGTTTTATCAGCTCTTCTCTTTCCCTTTGTATGCTAGACTTGTGTTGTCAATTTTAAGTAGTAGTTGTAGTAGTGGATGTAGTAGTGGTAGTGGATGCTATGCTTTCATACATTTATTGCATGTATTTCTTTCCTGCGTTTTATTGTATTGTTTTATGTACAGCACTTTATCTTTATTTGTGAAAAGCGCTTTTATCATTAAATGTTACTTACTTTTTTGCCTATTTTATATACTATTTTATATTGCTGTATATACTCCTTAGTACGGTTCATTTTTGTATTTAAACATTTTGGCAAATATTCATTAAAAAGTTCAAGAGAGTAAGACGTTGTCATTATATAATTCATATGATATAATAGCCGTTATTTTTGTTAAAAATAGCTTGTAATGAAAATCCTCAATTCAGTGTCTCAGTAATTAGAACATCAAATTAGATCCTTTGAGATAAACTACTGCATTATGCAACTTGCCCTGGAGGCAATCAGCCTCTGGCACTGCTGAGTTGTAATGAAAGCCTAGGTTACTTTGATAGTGGCAATTCAGGTCATCTGGATTCCTATTAGTTCAGATCAGGCCAGTTCCCAAGTAAATAAAGCACTCTAAGACCACAGTCATAATCAAACTAGCTTTTAGTACTTTTGGCAGTGGGGCCAAGTGCAAGGTACTGATGGAAAAATGAAAATCAGAATCTTGACAAAGGTTTTTATCAGAAGAAGCATAAAGTGGTCTGGATTTGCTGGTAGATGGCTGCATGGAATGTTAACTTCCTAAAACATGGTGGAGCTCCATCAGCATTACAGTCTGTGTACATGATGGCCAACCTATTTTCCTATTGATATAGAAATAATTTAGAACACAAAAAATCAAAAAATTATAAACGGGTATCTCTTCAATTGCAATCAGAAAATGATAGCAAAGTTAGATTTTTTTTTTTAATGTTTTGGTAGTCCATGACTTTAGCTGCCTGTAACCCTGAAAGCTGTCCCTACACGTTACTGTACATGCCGATTTTATTACAAGTGATTCCATTAGACTTTTTTTCCTAAAAAAATATTTCCAACTCCCCCATTGCCACTGTTTCTGCATCGAAGTTTTATTTATGCAATTCAGTTCAATTCTACTTGAAAAGCCTTTATCAATCTTATCTAAATTTCTGCTTTTTTTTATAGACAGGCTTCTATGAAGGTGTGCAATGTGTAGGGATAATTTCTTGGTCAAGAATAGCGAAAGAAAAATCTCAGAATACCTGAGGGTCCAGTGTATAGGAAGGACGTGGCCCAAAACGTGTCAACAGATTCAAAGGCAGATTTTCAAACACTTTATCGCTCTTCATCAAGTATTTATTGATATTATGTTTTGGTTAGTATGACCTTCATTCCGTTCAAACCTTTTTTCCTCAATATTAACAAACTCCTCCAGTGCTGTTGAGCTTCTATGACCTTCATACCAACCAAAGCGTTGAATATAATAGAATACAAAATCCCTTTATTTTCCCTCAATGGGGAAATTCTGGTGTTTACAGCAGCAAAAATGATTATAGAAAAAATGCTCACACAAATATAGAACTTAGAAAAATGGATAAGAAAAATATAATAGCATTAGCAAATCTTTGATGGAGAGTGATGTGCAGGAATCTCCCTTTGAATCTGTAGACCAAGACTAGCAAAAGTCATAGACAGTAAATCAATAATTAAAAATAAAACTTTGCTGTTGTTGTATGATTCCAGGTTTTTTATCCTGAAATTCCCTTTTGAAAAATAGATGTCATCTGTAAAAAATTTGGGAACAATCGCATTGATTCTGGAAACAATTTTATGGTTGGGGAATCTGTGAAGGGAGCTAAAAAATGTGGATAACGGTCAAAAAAATGTCCAACTTAAATACTTTCTTACCAAAGATTTATAGAAAAATATCAAAGAAAAGCAAGAAAATGACTAGCAACTGAAAGAATTTTATTGCATATATAAAAATATAAATATTTCTCTATTTATTAGTGAGAACAGTAAAGGTTCCTACTTACAATCTCAATCAGAAAAATGTAAACAAAAGAAAGTATAAAAATTATTAATTAACATTTTGTGAATGTCTATTCAATAAGCTGATATCTATTTACCCGTGATGTTTAACAATGTGAGAAAAAAAATTTTGAAATGAGGGAAAACTTTTGGTAAATAAACAAAATGATTTGATCAGGATGGGGCTCCTTTGTTGATTCTGGCTATATGTCTGTCTAAATAAATGAATCCATCAATCTGAGTCCCTTCTGAATAACCAATTGCCAGAAGGGTGGGAGGAGCTTATCTCTAAAAGCCACTGACAACGCAACAACAGAGACAAAGCATGAACAGTCATTAACACAATTAACGTCCAATGATTTCCAAACACAGGGCTCCTTGATTCTATCACTGCAATAATTTACTATCAATTCTCAGTGAGTGATTTAATTTTTTTACATTTCTAATTCATCACAATGCAATGCAGTTTTGTTCTCCTTGCAATGTAAATAGATTTATAAACATTGGCAGACTCTTGTGTATCAGCACGCATAATGCCCTATTAAGGGGTTTGTTTGTAAACCTATCTTCGAAGCAGAACTGCTATTTTGTGTAGTTTTAGATTTAGATAATCATCCAAACCTGGAGCCAACTTGTGCATATAAATTTGTAAATCTGTCATGCATGTGAATTCTCTACAGTACTATGTTTTATAATTATTCATGATCCTACTTTACTTATAAACCTAGCACTGACTTGTAATATATGACATCAAAATGTTGTTTTTCAAAATAGATTTTCCTCTCCATGTAAGTCTTAGGAAGGTTTTGATGTTATTTAAACCATGCCGCTAAAATCATTGGAGTTTAAGCCAACAAACGCACTAAAACTGAAAAAAACTGTTTGACACTGTGCAGCAAAATGTAGTAAACAGTTGCTAGATCATCTGATGTTTTCTTTTCCCCTTCTGTTTTCTTCAGATTATCAATCCTTCCAGATGCACACACCATCATATTAGAGGCTCTGCTCAGAACAGCAATTCACTGATTTGGATTCCCTCTTGGCTGTCGCCTTTTTCATTACACCGTGACGACAAAATGCAAAGCAGCCTGTGCGTTTAATATGAGAGACATGATTAAAAACAAACAGGGGTGGCTCATGTTTGAGTTTCTGTATAATAATGCATCACGCATTTGGTAAATAGGAGGGTAATTATGACCTTCTCTTTTTCAAATTTAGATTTCATCGTCCTTGTTGGTCACGTTTTTCTAGGTGTGATGTTCAGAGCACAGCTTCCATGGAGCTGTGACACCTCCTCCTGTTCCAGCTCTCCACTGAGCCAGCCATGCTCTCTGGACAGCCTGACACTCACCCCAGACGCTGTCTCACCTCTGCAACAGACAAACTCTTTCTTCAGTGACGCTTGAAATTAGACGGCATGTTCCTCAAGAAGATGGAAATTTAGGGACAGACCTGGCATTGAGAGTGGCTGCCAATCACTAGGAGCTGGAGCAGCATGTGGAGGTGCAGGCAGTGTCTTTTCTTCAGTTTTTAAAGGTGATGGTTTTATCTGTGTACAGAATTGAGTTCATTCAAGCCAATTTCCGGAATAGGTTTCTTCATGTGAGCCATTGTGCAGTCAGTCAGGCATAAGCAAATGCCTTATCTGTGACACAGTTGTAGCTCTTCCAGAATTAATTCTCCTCTGCCAAATACAGCATATGCTCTCATGTCTTATACAGTGATTTTTGCTTTTGCCTAAGTTGTAATCTGTGTGGCGAAATGAAGCATCTTGTAACTCAGGTCACTTTTGCATCAACAACCTGATAAACTGGAACAAAACTAAAACAGTATGCTGCCACTTGACAAAGCAAACTCAAACAAGAATAAAAAAAATCAATGAATTAAACTTTTTCTCTCCATCTTCCATTGTGTGTTTCTTTTTTTTCCACTCATTCTCATTCAGAAACTTTAATTTTTTATGCATTCTCCACCTCCGCTTTCTTATTGTCAGTGCTGCAGCCCACCCTTCTCCCAGCTTCAGTGGTACATGCCAATAGAAAGCCCATCTCTGGAAGGGGAGGAGGGGAGGGTGGTCTCAGTCTCAGCTAAGCGGCTACTTTAGTCCCCCAGCAGAAGCACATTCACAGATGTCTCTGCACGCGTCTCAACCGTCATGACAAGGCAGCCCGCTTCTGTGTGAGCAGAGAGGCACAGAGAGATTCAGAGAGACTAAGAGAGGAGACGGGTGGGAGGGAGAGCAGGAGAAAGAAGAGGAGAGGGCAAAACACATATATCGCTTCCACTCTGAGGTTTCTGCTCATGAGTCTGATCGGGTGTGTTTTAAGCAAAAGAAGAGGAAAAAGAGGGAGGACAATTCATCCTGAGAGCTTGAATCATCTCTTTGCTTGAAATTTGGCTCTTTTTTAACTCCATCCCCCAATGAATAAAGGTGGCTTCTACTAACACGACACAGTGATATAGAGGGATGCTTTGAACGCTGCCTCTCTTTCAACAAGGGGCAAGAAAGAGGAAGAGGGGGAAGACGGCATACAGCAAGGAAAAAATAAACTGGATTTCTAGGATGACTCTGAGTCGACTTGGAAGGTTGGAATACAAGCCTCACGCCAAAGTCTCTGAATGAGGTAACGATGGTATCTTTTCTTTTTATGCTCTGCCCCCTGACTGGCTTAGACAATCAGATGGAAATCTGCGAGGCACTTGAAAGCATGAACAAGGGCTTGACAGAATGAACCAATTTCCATGCTCATCAGGTCTGGAGCAGCAGTCGGGAGATTCCCATCCTCCTCCACGGGTTGTTGTTGTTCGTCTCGCCCAGTGGAAGTGAGAGGTGGAATTCACACTGGCTGCAATGTTGCATGTTGCAGAGAAGCAGTGAGATGAGTTGAGCATCAGGCTGAGAGAAAAAAAAATGGTGATAATCCTTGTGATGAGCATCTGGGGATGCTGAGATAGCATTAGGGCAGAGCACCCAGTTCAGCTGAGTTCAGCAGATAAATGGAGAAGGATTTGCCTTTATTTTAAATAGGATGAGTTGAAAATCTAAGGATATGTGTTAAAATCAGGAAAGTGGTGTTATGGAAGAGAGAAATTAGTAGTAAACAGGAGAGTGGACTTACTGAAACTCAACAATGCAGCCTGCTGGGCAGTTATATCTCAATATTCTGAAAACAATTAAAAACCAGGTACTAGAGTTAGGAGAGGGAAAGATTGAGCTTTAATTAGGCTTAAAAATAAAACTGAGGGAAAGATGAAGATGTTATATTTATCAGCACAGGTGCATAAATATCTATGCGTCCCAGAAATTGCCTTTTTACAACCGATTTTTAACTTAAAAAACATATGACAATATAATGAGTTCTTCTCCAATTTCATCCTCGTATGTAAAAAAAAATCTCTCTACGGATTCTTCACGGTAATCATTTCTCAACAAAGATAAAGCTTTTGTATTTAAGAAAATTGCATCCAAGTGTTGTGTTAATAAATGCTTTTGATCAATTGACAATCAGTAAATAGGACCACCTCTGCAAAAGCGACGTTGGCAGTTTGCTGATGTTAACTAAGCACCGGGGTGGACAGCCGTCAGCAATCATCTTAAAGAAGCAATATGTGCCGTCCATTAATGTGGGAAGGGTTATAAGAACATTCATTATCAGTGAGGAAGATTATTCAGCAGTGGAAAACATTTAAGACCGCTAAAGAATTCCCAGGAGTGGATGTTCCAGAAAACTCATTCCCAGCCGTTCACTCGACTGCGTAAAAAAAGGCTTCATCTTAGACACTGCAAGCTTTAAACTATAAATAAAATAAGAAATGGAGTGAACTAGCATGGCCTATTTTAAAAGGTTTCTGCTGGAAAGCCTCTTCTCTTTGAAAAGGACATGGCAGTTTGAGTTTACAATAATAGATCTAAATATACCACAAATCCTTTAAAGCAATTTTCCTTTGGACAGATGGGAGTAGATATGTTTTTGGGTTTATCCTCAGCGCCTTGTTTTGCAAAGACTTAAAAAAAGGATAGGAATGCAAAGAACCATCAGGGTAATTATTGAGCATGGTAGTGAGGGGGCAGGTGAGTTGGTGTTTGGCAATGCAGGACCAGGGCATCATCCATACATTAATTCAGTTTTGAGTACCACCATCAACTAAACCAATATAACTTTAACTATGAGTCAGTCTTTTTCACATATGGATCATGCAAAAGATGCAATGTTATAAACAGTAAAATCCTCCTTCATGATGTGAGAGAGTTATAAAGTTTTGCAGAAAATTACAACTATAAATAATCACTGCTAAAGCTGAGTTTGTACGATCTGGTGAACCATAGTAATTTTGTTTTTCTTTGGGCTCCTCTGCAAAAGAGTAAATGTTTATTCTGTTTTATACAGAAAAAAATTTAGAACCTTGAAAAATTTTGAATTATTATGTTCTGATATATAAAAACCAAGAAGAACTAAAAATGCTCAGTGAGAAAAGCTTTAAGAAATCAATCCTGGAATGGGACGCTGAAGGTCATTTCTTCTGTCTGCTCTAGTTCTTTTTCTGCCCAAAAGAATCAAGCGAGTTCTGGCTTTTCCAGGCACATTGCACCAACGCCCAGGATTACATCTGTCACTATGACTGAATTTGTTTTTGACAGGATCTAATTTTGACTTTTTTACATAATAAATACAGCAAAATATTGTGTATGCTATTTTAATGAACCTCAATAACAGATGAGGTTATGTCTGATATACTGTATTGCTGAAAAATGAATGACATTTATTGGTCCTTGCTGCATCCCTTTTAATATCCACAAAAAAAAGTAGTAAAAAACACAATGGTTTCTTTTCAGCCACAGATGATTGACCAACACAACAAAACAACACCTGGGCTTAGTCTTTTTAGCCTGAAGAGCAATGCTTGCAGTGCTGCAATACACTGTGCATGTTTCTGGCTGTTTCTCAGGTAATAGCATGGCTCTGTATTGCACTCTTTGGCCCCGAGTGGATATTTGGTGTCTGCTTAGTCCAGCTATGATAACTAGAGGGACCCAGAACCAATTTATAGACTCAAGGAAATTTTGTTTTTGCATTCTAAGTTCATGGTGGCACCTTTTTTTTTTGTTATTGTCTAACGGGCCAGAATTTCAAATAAGAGTCAGCTTCATCTGTGCCTCTGTAAAACAAACCTTACAAAGCCACTATAAATCCACTATTCTTCACCAGATTTGTTTTAATGGACAAATAAATGATTCATAATGAACAGCATAACTTAAGTTTGTTCATTCAATACTTGGGTTAACATTCTGTCAATTAAGTTCAAATCAATTCACTTCCATTTAATTGCACTGTACCAATTAACAGGAGAAGTAACCTTCAATGCTCTTTACACAACCAGGTCCAATCCATACTTAATTATTAAGAAATATAAATGTAATTTAGCCGAGTTCATACAATACAATTAAATTTTACAGATATTCAAATTAAATGATTTTAAGTCCAATTTGATTACACGTATGATCTAATGCATAAATGAGCCGGTAATCATTCTTAATATTTCAAAGGCTTTATAAAACCAAAGCTTTAGAACCTCTAGAGAATAATATGCAACATATTTTACAATTAAAGCAACCTACTTCTGTTCATTTTGATTAAAACAGCAGGTAATATTTTTAAAGCATATGTAAGTTTTGTTTTTTAATACTAAGGAGAAAATGTGGATTACAGTTACTGTGTCTATTTTCTATAGGTGAACTCATTGTGAAATCAGGAACTGAATGTCCTTTGTCTCGTTCATTGTAGTCATTATTTCACACATCATTTGATGATGTAATGATATGCATGAGACCAGACAGGAAGTAGGGGTGAAACTAAACAAATGTTTTTGATAGCTTTGAACACGGCTGTGGTTGTTTCAGGAGCATGTGGGTGAAGGTAAAGCATGTCTTCCTACACAGAGAACTCATAGATGCAGGTCCCTGAAAATACTCTTCAACTGGTCATATTCCTCTCTGTTTGATGTCTGTTCCTGTGTGGTGCAGGTTTCTCTTTGAAAGTACCTCAGCGTCTCTGCAGATTCTACTATCAGGGCAAGTGTACAATATAAGACAAGTGGAAAAGCAGGGCCTTTTATTGAGCACAATAGGGACATGAGACATTCTCCTCTCAAAGAATAGGAAAGCTAAGCCCCGGTTTTGAAAATGTATAGAGACAATTTAGAAAAAGAATAACAATTGGTCATCTGTTTCTTCTGTGGGAGGAAGCCATAGTTGGACAAAACCTTTAGAGAACTCACACATGCACAGGAAAAAAAAACTCACAAAGACCCCAGGGCTGGATTTAAAACTAGGAACTTTATGATGCAAGGCAAATTTGATGCAAACTGTCTTTGACTTAACTCTAAAATATATTAATCATGCTCATAATTTTAACCTCTGGCAGGTCAAGTGGATACGATTCGATCACTTCTTTAAGCCTTTAAGTATTATTAGAAATCAAGTGAATATTTGTGTTTAAAATTGAAGTATAAGATGCAGAAGAAAAGGGGCAGGTACAAAGATGCTGTAGCTGGAATCTAAGAAATTGTTTTGGTAGAAAGGTGTCCAATATAAAGAGTGCCATTTCACAACATATGTCATCTTATGCCACTTCACATAGATGATTCAGTGAAATCATTTACACATGTTTTTTTTTTTTTTTTGGTTAGTTTTTTATTGAATTATCATTTACTTCTCCCGGATAACATGCAGCAACAGCAGAATTTGCTTGCATAGTTTCTGTGATTTATGCAGCAATCCCTCACACCAAGCATGCATGCAGCAACAGTGAAGAGGAAAAACTTTTTTTTGCCAACAGAAAGCTCTCTTCTCGCTAGTCTGCATTTTTTGATTTACACCAGGAGAGCAAATAATTGCTGTACAGTACCATTATAAACAGAAGCTGGTATTAATTTGTCAAACCAAAAAAGCTAAGAAATACCTTAATTTAAAGTGTGCAATTCAAGATGATTGATGGATACAGAGTGCTTCATCAAAATGTCTTCAGCTAGTCATTTACACCCTTATTTAACAGTCTCACAATATAGATTTTTGTGTTTTATCCTGCCCAGAGCAAATACAGGAGACAAACTGGCTCACAACAGTATCTAAACACCTTATGCTATAAACGTATTGATTCTTCTTTATAAAAAATATATTTTTCTTATTGCTGTTTTTGCAAGAATGGAGATAAATCATTAAATGAAGCAAAAGCAAGCTTCTGAAACAGTTGTTCTGACTATAGGTGAAGGCTGTTTGTTTTTCATTGCTGAATATATTAAGTCATTCTGGTTTATTGTGCTACAGGCTTTGTTAGGATGTGTTTAATTAATATCAGTTTAATGGCTTGTTTTGGTCATGATTTTGCTAGAGGACTAGTATAAAACACACTGGGGACATATTCCTTGCATTGCCTGGCCTAAACACAAGAGTAAAGCAAAATGTCTACTAAGAACAAACATTTTCAGCCTTGCAGCAGTGCGACAGCACCTCGTCGGATTACAAACCATCAGGCTCTTGAAAATCTGTCTGGTGGCCCATTAAAACAGCCACTATTGTGGCTCATTAATGTCCTGCAGAGGAATTAGAATAAACTGTGCTCCATAT